CTCCCACAATGCACTCTAATTTCACGTCTGTTCCCTCTGAAATTAAAAAGAATATCTCAAGTAGTCCAGAGATCATCACATGTTGCAGACAATATGTTTCCAATACAATTCCATATCAGAACAGCTAGTTTTGGAAATGGAGGTTAGCTTTCCTACAAAAATAAAGTAATGATTTTTGTTAGTCAATCCAGGAACCTTGAAGGCCAAATGAGGCCAAATTTGCGTTCCATTTTTTTTTTTCAGCTTTTATTTTTAATATAGCCACTTCAGTTAGGATCTAACGACCGTCCTCTTGGACATTAGTCAAATTAACCCTTTGACCTAACCTGGTAAAAATGGCATTGCAAAATGCCAGCGCTGGAGTGCGTAGAGGTTTGATTGGTTAAAGCCGATGTCATTGAGTTAGGTCAAAAGATCAATTTGAGTAATGTTCAAGAGCCCAGTCTTTAGACCCTAACTGAAGTGGCTATGTTAAATATAGAAGCATACAAAAACTGAACTAAAGTTTGGTCTAATTTTAATTAGATTGCCATGTAGGTGTCAAGAAAACAAGAGTTTTCCTGAAAATGCAATGCAACACAAGTTACAAGAAAACACCCAAAGAAAACTTTATTCCTGAAACCCAAATTTGCTATGTTCAGCTCCACAAATCATTGATCAAACTTACAAATATTATAATAAAAGAAGTAAAGCCACCAAATGGAAAAATAATCTCTAAAAATGTAGAAAATCCTCCCAAAACCAAAATAATCACCAAGTACTCCTTAGGTTGTTTTTAGCTCTGTGATAACACCAACAACCTTTCTAAAGTCAAATTTAATGATTAAACCAAGAAATATCTGTTAAAATCAGGCAGACCTGGCACCATTCCAGCCAACATTCCATGGTAGATAGATTATGAACGGTGGCTACTGCCAACTACAGATGTGAACATTACGAGCTTAATAGAATTGCACACTAATAACAATATCTTGTATATTGTTGTAAAATGCACTCTTAAAGGGATTGTAAAGAGGTTTCTAAATTTGGGGACACTGATAGTATCAATTTGCATCATTCCATAATCCCAGTATTTCAATTTTCAATCAGACGTCTGTGGTTCCTGTAATACCACTAAAACTAAGTGATGACATCACTAATCGCAAAATATGCTTTATCACATAACGACCTTTATGATTATTATTTTCATTAAACACTTATTTTTGTGCAATTGCAGAAACCATGGACGTCTCTGAATGAAAATTGGAATGGTTTAAATTGATGCTATCAGTGTCCTTGTTACACTTAAACATTTTTTAGAAAACCTCTTTACAATAATAAATATTTCTAGGGCATACCAGACAGGAGAGTTCAACTTTAGACAAGACTTATCCAGAAAATTCATAAAAGCTACATAGAAGTTACTTTTTGGAATTGTTTTGATAAATTGTAAAACCACTTCCCTTTTCAATCCCCAGTCCGACCCAAACCAGAAATTTTATCACCTTTCTTTTTTTTTCTAATGTTTAAATAAAATTTTCAGTACAACATATGTCTGATATAAGTGAAATTTGATAAGCTGTTTATCTTTTAAATTACATGGTAGAAATATTGGCAAATCTTCCACCAACAGTTATCACAGTAGCCTATATTTACATTAGTCATTAATTTTCCATTGGTCTAATACAAATTCGTGTGGCGTTTATATCACCATAAAAACCATTGCCTCATCACCAAAACAATAGGCGTTGCCTAGTAATTTAATCAATGACGTCGTTATTCATTGACTTCATTGTATCAAATTGACCGTCTTGAATGTAAACAATCATGTTGGTAGTCCCAAACATTTAAACGTAAAGAAATAGGCCCTACTTAAATTCATACTAAAGTCTATGTATCACAATTAAACAGTTTATTATAAGATTTGAACGACATATCCAAATGGTTTGGATTGCCAAATATCAGCTGGTAGGGTTCTCCAGAACTTAAGATGCTATCTTTCAAAAGTTTTTTATCAATCCTTATAAAATATGGATGTTTTTTTTTTTTGTAGATAATAATCGCAGAAAGGGTTGACCAAGTACCCAGAACTGGAGATGTTTTGTTTGTAAAAGAGAATATGAATCGGATGCAGTTTTACGTCCTACTTTTCTGCATCATATTACCTAATGAAGACAGGTAACGCCATGCAGGGTGCAATGAGGGAAATTTTGCCAGGACAGCGGCATTAGCCTGCTCTTTTTCGATTTCCAACTGTTGAGGGATCTTTAAAGTGCACAGCCCCGGAGCCTCTGTTTATTGTCCCATCTGAACGAATAGACCCATTTTCCATGTCAGCCCATCTTACCTCCATCACTGACAAGGGAAAAATCGTGACCTATACTGGGCACAATTTTGTCAAGAAATGAGTAATAATAAATAAATTAAGCACTAATGATTGGATTAAACAAAACCAGAAATCCAAAACAACATACTGGCAAAACATTATTAGCAGCTAATGAACTTTTCAGATGAGGAAGTACATCAATCATAAGTGAGTAAGTGTTTCATAATGAAAACTGGTATCAGGTGTCTAGAAGAGTCAGCATACCCTGTAATGATACTCCTCAAAATAACAAATAACTTTGCAAAACCTGGTTCACACCAAACGACTTTATATTACTCATTCTTAACTCAGTATATTTTGACATTTTAGATAGAAAAATACCAAACAGTTATTCTGGAAGCATTTTATCAACATCAACACCCCAATGATTCTATTTTCGTCAGTTTATTTTATAGAGGCCTTGACCTTCTCTGGCACCTATCAATCGTGGGCGTGTAATGCTATTACGATCTTCATCTAGATGTTTTATTTTGTCTTCTTCCTGTGGATTACTTTACTACACACAACATCTCAACATCTGAGTTAAATGTTTTTTCATTTGCATAGAATTATTAATTCCTCTCAAAAATGGTTGAAAACTATGGCTCAACTGCATTTTTATGGGGGTGGCATGGGTCAACCAGTCCCCATGTAAGTTTTGTGGCTCGAGTTTTCATCAGAAGTCGGGTGACATGGGTCAACCAGTCCCTATGTAAGTTATGTGGCTCGAGTTTTCATCAGAAGTCAGTGTCATGAAAACTTTTTGGAACACTTTCGTTTGGTTTTTTTTTTTACTTTCATTTTTAATATAGCCACTTCAGTTAGGGTCTAAAGACTGGCTTCTTTAACATTCCTCAAAATAACCTTTAGATGAGGTACCAACTTTACATAATGAAACCCAAAAATATTTTTTCATGAAATTTTTCCAAATGTGTCCTAAATCAGATTGATTAGATGAGCACAGTCAACCTAGCCACCAACAACTATTCTCATGTACATAACTATTCTTGTCTGCCACAGTAAGTCCAGCAGACATCAACTGGTCAAATAGTTTAAATAGTTTAGTTGCAGTAATAATGGGCAAGATTTAAAACTATTATGGTTTATGTGATGACAAGATAGAAGACAGCTGTTGGTGTTAACGAGAACCAGACAAGTTACTGATAACTCCTAGTGTTTATATACATCTTAATTCACTCCAGAATCAACAACCCTCTCTAACATAGTTACAACTCTTCATTCCCTAACCATTAAAGGGATTGTAAAGATTTTTTTTTAAATTTTTATGTGTATCTGGGACAATAATAGCTTCATTACACCATTCCTATTTTCAATCAGACTTCTGGGGTTCCTGCTATTTCACTAAAACTAAGTGTTTGATGACACCGCTAATCACTTATGTGAAAAGGCATATTTTGCGATGAGTGACATCATCGAACATTTAGTTTTAGTAGAATTGTAGGAACCACGGACATCTGATTGAAAACTGGAATGGTGCAAATTGATGCTATCAGTATTCCCAATACACATACAATATTTAGAAAACCTCTTAACAATTTCAAGAGTAGCTTTGAAGAATAAGATATCATCTAGTTAACCATGTAATTTGATAATCAAATAGTCACAAAAAAGTGGTGGAAACTGGACACTGTGTCCAACTGTGATCTGCCTCCATGATTCAGTAAGTGTTAACAAAAGCTGAAAATTTTCTTAATTAGAAATTTTCTTACCTCAAAATATAAAATTTTCTAGATAAAATCGAAATAAATCCAATATGAAGTAAGTTATTTGAGTAAGTAAAGAGGATGTACTAAGAATGTCAGTATATTAGTAGATAGTATAAAAATAGCTTGAATAACTTACAGGTAGTTTGATATACAGCGTGCCAGTATTACAATCTACCAACTGGCATCACTCTGTTTTGGCGTTAGACCCAAATACTAATGAGTCAGAACATTTCAATAGCTATCTTATCAAAATATTTCTTTAAAGGTATGCTACTTCTTAGGATGGGGTAACAGGCGTTTGCTCACTGTATAGATGTTCACTGGACATTTGCTCAACGGACAATTGCTCACCGGACATTTGGACAATTGCTCACTGGACATTTGCTCAGCGGACAATTGCTCACCGGACATTTAGACATTGGACAATTACTCACTGGACATTAGCTCACCAGACATTTGCTCACCGCTTTTGGACATAGGACAATTACTCACTGGACATTTGCTCACTGGACAATTGCCCACCAGACATTTGGACAGAGGACAATTACTCACTGCACTTTAGCTCACCAGACATTTGCTCACCGCTTTTGGACATAGGACAATTACTCACTGGACATTTGCTCACTGGACAATTGCTCACTGGACATTTGGACAATTACTCACTGGACATTTTCTCACCAAACAATTGCTCACCAGACATTTGGACATAGGACAATTACTCACTGGACATTTGGACAATTACTCACTGGACATTAGCTTACCAGACATTTGCTCACCGCTTTTGGACATAGGACAATTACTCACTGGACATTTGCTTACTGGACAATTGCCCACTGGACATTTGGACAGAGGACAATTACTGCACTTTTGCTCACCGCTTTTAGACATAGGACAATTACTCACTGGACATTTGCTCACTGAACAATTGCTCACTGGACATTTGGACAATTACTCACTGGACATTTGCACACCAGACAATTGCTCACCAGACATTTGGACATAGGACAATTACTCACTGGACATTTGCTCACCAGAAATTTGGACATAGGACAATTACTCACTGGACACAGACAATAATTGCTCACCGGACAATTGCTCACTGGAAAATTGCTCACTGGACAATTGTTCACCAGACATTTGACCACCAGACAATTGCTCAAAGGACAGATGCTCCCCAGACAATTGCTCACAGGACAATCGCTATCCAATTGCGAACCAGACAATTGCTCAAAGGACAGATGCTCAAAGGACAGATGCTCACCGGACATTTGCTCAACAGACAGTTTTTGGACCAACTAGCATCAGTCTATTCTGGCGTTAGACCCAAATACTAATGAGTCAGAACATTTCGATAGCTATCTTGTCTCATCTACCTCTTAGGATAGGGTACAGACATTTGCTCACTGGATAGATGCTCACCAGACATTTGCTCACCGGACAATTGCTCACCAGACATTTGGACATAGGACAAAAACTCACTGGACAATTGCTCACCGGACAATTGCTCACCAGACATTTGCTTACCAGACATTTGCTCACCAGATATTTGCTCACCAGACATTTGCTCACTGGACAATTGCTCACCGGATTATAACTCACTGAACATTTGCTAACCAGACAATTGCTCAAAGGACAGTAGCTCAACAGACAATTGCTCACCAAAGAAATGAGAAACAGGAAGATGACCAAAATATTGAATTTTTAAAACTTGGTTAAAATGAGTCTTTCTTCATCAGTCGGTGTCATAACTATACAACAGAATCTCTCTATAATCTAATAAATCTATAAAACTAAGTAATAATTCATTAAACTAAGTAATTTAGAAGTGTTTATAAATATTACTTAGTTAGGGGAAATAACTCATATTCAATATTTTAATGATTTTTGATAGAGTTCATTGTTGGGTGATTATAATTCTTTTTTACCATATTTTGTCAAATTCCATGCCTTCCAAACTGTTTATGAGTTGCATTTTGAAAAACAAAAGCAATAGCTAAAAAATCTGTCAAGAGTTGTGCCGTTAAGAGTGTTTCTACAAACAATATACATACTTCACCTCGTGTGGCCGTATAAAAATGAAATGGATTTTTACATCCTACTTTTCTGCAGATTAATGAGCATGCTGCAGAGCAGAAAAGACACTGAGCAACTGCAATTCCTAGACAAATGTCAGAGGCAGCGAATTTGGAATAGGGTACAGGGTATGTAACTGGTATGGAAGGAAAATGGATGGAAAAAGAAAACAAAGGGGATATAGGAACGAAAGAGAAAAATATAACTCACCACTTGCTACAGTTTTCTTGGGCCGTCGTTTAAACATCGGGCGTGAAGTACCATCTTCAAATTCTGGTGCCGTGTGATAACTTGAGATGTCAGTATTATAATCACTGTCGTCATGGGAACTCAGGGACTGATAATCTGTAATAGAAGCAAAAACAATTCCTGAATTTTTGTTGCCAGGGCCACATTGGCAATCTTTGTAAGATATATTAGCAATTTCAGGAAATGGGTTTGTATAATATCAATCAAATTAAAATTAGATTACAATTTCGTCTTGTTATTATTTTTGGTTGGTCTCCATTGTAATCCATGTCTAAATATTGACTATGAATTGTGGGATAGTGCAACTCGAAGTTGAAAGATATGACCAATGAGATTGCCAATGCTCGCTTGTAAAAATGATTTTGATTGGTGGGAGAGAGGCATGTGACTGACTGCCTGTAGTGTGACTATCAGTAAGCGACCTTGGTATAAATCTTGATAGATTACAATGAAGGCCAAATAAAAAAATAATAACGAAACGAAATTGGTTGAATTTGTAGCTTTTTGTTCTCAGAAAGCAAGAGGTTCTTCAGCCAATGATCTCAAGAATCAACTAGTTTTTCTAACCTTCCACCAAGACCAAGAATCGAACCCCAAACTCTTAGGTAAGTGATCAAGTTTCTAAATTGTTGAGTCACCTTGGTTTCTGAACACAATTTAAACTTACCATCTGTTTTAAGGGTACGATCAGATTCTGACCCACTCTGTTCTTCCAGTGCCAGCTGAATATCTTCTGGTTTCAGTCCAGCTATTGAACTACTTTCTGAAGTCTTCTTACGAGGAGTGGAAGGTGACGGTGGAGTGATTGGTTTTTTGATCTTTCTTTCCTCCATGACATCAGTTACTTCTACTCCTGAAAGAGCAGATTCAAAATACTTTAAAATCATTAACTACCAGTATGTGGACGATTTAGTACAGTCAGTACAAGTTACAAATTCAACTGAGAAACTAAGCCATCTTGACTGCGGATTAGCTTTGTTTCTTGTGACTGAACACTTTTTCCGAAATTGGCACTATTTCCTTACAAGACCTATGATAATATCAAATGAGAGATCTTCAAGTAAGAGAACAAAATAAGTCACTAAATGAGAAGAGGATGACATACCAAGTTTTACGAGTGATTCTCGAATGTCCCGAACCCAGCTTTGTTTGGCATAGATACTGCGAGCTTGAAATGTATATACTTCAGTTGAAGGTTCGGCTGTCCACAGTTCAAATCTTCGTTCATCTTCCTCCACTACTTCATTAATCTGAACATCTACCAACTAAAATAAACATGTTAAATTTAGATTTAGAAATTCAATTGGATTTATGCACAGTTAGATCATAGAGGAGAGGCCCAAAACCCACCTCAGTCCATGAACCCAACTCATCTATTTGAGCCACTGATTTCCCTGTTTTTTTTAAACATTTGATTAAATGAATTTATGAATAAATGACTTATTACATGAATGAATTTATGAATAAATGACTTATTACATGAATGAATTTATGAATAAATGACTTATTACATGAATGAATTTATGAATAAATGACTTATTACATGAATGAATTTATGAATAAATGACTTATTACATGAATGAATTTGTGAATAAATGACTTATTACATGAATGAACTTATGAATAAATGACTTATTACATGAATGAATTTATGAATAAATGACTTATTACATGAATGAATGAATGAATGAAGAAACAAATGAATTAATTAATTAAGAAACAAATTAATTAATGAATATACGCTGAGCATGAAAGGATTTGTATTTCTTAGAAATAATTACTGGCTTATTTCATAAGGTTTGCAATCCCTTCCTTTGTAAAGTTTACAGGTAAGTCCAGAACCAGAGCTATATATGTGTCAATGCAGCAGTGCAGAACCAGAGCTATATATGTGTCAATGCAGAAGTGCAGAACCAGAGCTATATATATGTCAATGCAGCAGTCCAGAACCAGAGCTATATATATGTCAATGCAGCAGTCCAGAACCAGAGCTATATATGTGTCAATGCAGCAGTGCAGAACCAGAGCTATATATGTGTCAATGCAGAAGTCCAAAACCAGAGCTATATGTATATCCATTAAGCAGTCTAGAACCAGAGTTATATGTTCATTCAGAACCAGAGCCATTTGTCCATTAAGCAGTCCAGAACCAGAGCTAATTGAGCAGCAGTCCATAACCAGAACTATGTGTCCACTAAACAGTCCAGAACCTGAGCTATGTGTCCATTAAGCAGCAGTCGAGAACCAGAGCTTTGTGCGTTAATGCTACAGAATAGACACCTTGGAGTCCAAAGTCCTTAACTTAAACATGATTTTTGAAGTCTCAAAAGCACTTCAATCCCAAAGCAAAGCCGAGGCACCGGAAAACTTCAGAACTTAATTAGGTATTGGTGGTGAAAGCCGACAACGGGTCGACTCTCAGAAGCACAGGCACATGCATCAGAATTGTTCTTACCTTGGAAGGTTGCGAAAACCCACGGCACGTAGCAGACGACAATCCAACTAGCTACCAACTGAGCACTTTCGCCAGTTAGGGTGAATATTAAAACAGAAAAACCACATGTCATATAGATACAGAAAACATTTACTGGCAAATTATCTTTTGCTGCATGAGTTAAAACTATCTTGTATTTATACCTATTGTTTTCATAGGAACTTTACTTACAGATCTTGATTAGTTTATGATAAGAGAAAGAAAGAGAATAGCAACATGAATGAATGAATGACAGAATAAATAAGTGTGTGAAAAACTGAATGAATGAATAAATGAATGAATGATTTAGCAAATAAATGAACGATTTAGCATAAAAATGAACGATGTAGGAAATAAATGAATGATTTAGCAAATAAATGAATGATTGAGCAAATAACTGAATGATTATTTAGCAAATAATGAATAATGATGTAGCAAAAAAATGAATGATTCAAATAAATGAATGATGTAGCAAATAAATGAACGATGCAAATAAATGAACGATGCAAATAAATGAATGATTTAGCAAATAAATTAATGATGTAGCAAATAAATTGATGATTTAGCAAATAAATCAATGATGATTTAGCAAATAAATGAACAATGCAAATAAATGAACAATGTAGAAAATAAATGAATGATTTAGCAAATAAATGAATGATTTAGCAAATAAATGAATGATGATGTAGCAAATAAATGAATGATGATGTAGCAAATAAATGAACAATTTAGTAAATAAATGAACAATTTAGTAATTAAATGAACAATTCAGTAAATAAAGGAATGAATGAAAGAATAAGAGATAGAATAAACCAAACAAATAAATGTATAAAGAAATGAGTGAGTGAGTGAGTGAGTGAGTGAGTGAGTGAGTGAGTGAGTGAGTGAGTGAGTGAGTGAGTGAGTGAGTGAGTGAGTGAGTGAGTGAATGAATGAAACAAAAGATTACTTTCAGAGTAGAAGGTTACCTGAAGAGCCGATTTGAAGACATAAGTAGTAGTTTCTGTAGGAGAGTCTGGTCGTTTACGTTTGGTCAATAACAGCTTCTCTGGAAATAATAACATGTGTCTTTCTTTACATCGACTGATCTGAGGTTCAGCATCCCACATCAATACATCATCCTGAAAGCATATACATATATAAGGAAATGGTGTTTTACATCCTATTTTTCAACTCCTGGGCTATGGAACGAAGTTTTACATCCTGCTGCTCTGAATCATATGTGAATTGCTTATGGCACTGTATCTAGTGCATAATAGGATCCAAATCAGATTGTATAAATTATTAGAAGCACGCATGATAATGATATGCAGAGAATGTCATGTGATCTAATTTAATTTTCAAGGTACGAAAGATGATCAAAAGATTACGATCCAGCTTACACAATCCAGTGGTGAATTCGTCAAAATCTGTCAAGAATTGTGCCTTCTAGAATGTTTACAAGCTAAAATTTCAAGAACAAGGGAAATAAGCCTTGTAGAGTGTTTACGGAGGGACGAACATGGGACAAACATGGGTGACGACAATATACGCCCCTCAATTAATGTGGGTGTATAAAAAGTAAATAAGATAGGATAAAATTATTTTCACTTTATTAGTCACTTCTACCTAAGAAATGACCACGTGATCTTAAGAATTTATACAATTTGATTTTGAACCAGATACAGCCCTATAATTGTTTCTACTAAAAAAGGAAGTCAGTTTTCAAAATTGAAATTTCTATGATAACTTACATGACAAATCATCATCCTTTGTCTTTTAAAGGGACAGTGTGGACATTTTCAAGTGTTGATTTCAACTTTCGTCTTTTCACGTCAAACACTATTACTGATTAGTTTAGCTTAAAGATTCTCGTTTC